GCATTCAGAGTCTTGTAAAAAAATGAATCTCGTGTATACCACCATAAGACTTTGTCAGGAGTATACTCCTTTTGAAATTCACGAAGATTGCTTAACTCAAAATTGTTACCTTTATATTCATCTTTACAAAGCTCAATAAGTTCTTTAGTATCCGTTTGAGTGGACTTAAGTCGTAAAAGGCAATCAATAAGAACTTGTGAGAAAACGAATTTACCATTTACACCGCTAGTCGATTTACCAGCACTAGAACCAGTAGTGAAAATATTAATTGCCAATGGCTCTTCTATGATTTTCTGAATTTTATAGTCAGCTTTAATTCGAGATACAAGTTCATCAAGTTCAACAACAACAGCCTTTACCTATCAACAAAAACAAGTTATAAACTGAAATTTAAATCATTCAATACAACTTTACTTTTGCAAATTTACTAGCCCATTGTTTATTTCTTTCCTTATCCATACAATATACATAGATTGAAATAATTTGTCGAACTCTGTGAATGGAAGGAACTATTTTTTCCCCTAATCGACCACTCACAATCATTATTAGCCGATCTTTTTGTGACCGTTGTTCAATATATTTTTGACATCGTTCTATATCTTGAAATTTCTTGAGACGATTAATAGTAGAACGTAATTTTTGTTCTGTATCGCGATTATCTTTGGCTTGAATATTATCATCCAGCCAGATAAGACAGAAAATTTCAAGTTGCTGATCATCGACATTTGTATAGAAATCATTAACAGCTAGAGCTACCTTGGCCATGGTAATCAAAAAGGTTGAACACGATAAAACTTTTGAATACTGTCGTTTCGATGCACTTATCAAATGTATAAATGCTTTTTATATAATCTAAAAGGAATAGCATACGCTCGCTTTTATTATTTTATTGAATAGTATATATGATGTTATCGAAGAAGATACGAGAATAAGAGTCGAAGTCGTTTAAGAAAATCACTTCTTTCTGTTGTTCAGCTTTAGTAGGTAAGGCCATCTGATCAAGGTACGAAATATTAATATCCATCGAAGTTATTTGTTTTCTTTTTGTTTAGCCATCTTAACAAGGTTTTAAACTAGAGGATACTATTTCTCACTAAGTTCGCTATTGTTATTTGGTACTGTTTAGATTTTTAACATCAATTAGTGATGTGGGTGTGGGTGTGCTTGTGAGTCTTCTTCTCACAATACACCCATACCCAGACCCTGGGGAAGTTGCCAGAAACATGCTGTTTTCTCGGGTTATTCGGTACGGGATCCGATTGGTTTCAATCAAATCCGAAGGCAATATTGATTGACCTGGGTAGATGTGTGGATGGAGTGTACGTGTTGATCTCCATGGTTGAATGTAAGTTTGGATATTCTTTTCAAACTCCAAAACCGCGTCTCTAGTGATTTTTATGTTGCTCAAAACAGGCACACTTTTATTGAGCACTGTCCTTTGGGTGTTTGTTACTAAACTTCAACTAGGGTGACTTGTTTATGAACGCAGGTTGCTCCACTATTCGTCTTATCCAATGCTACAAAGTCACTATCGTTTCTCTACTCATCGTACAAGAGGTTTCAGTGAAATCGCAGGTGCACTACATTGACTTCAGTTTCATGTCTTTGATAAATCAAATGAAAGAAAGAAGGTGGTGAAAACATAAAAGAAACAAACTAATTATTTTAGATATCAACAATATCTTAGATTTGAGAGTAATGAAACTATCAAAGTATTATTTAACAACTGTCGAACAGATAACGACAGCAACGGATATATGACATACGCTAAAAAAAACTAGCAGCTCAAGTAAAGTTGATCATGCATGCCAATTTCGGATCTTTGTTGATCATTTCTAATTTTCATTGGATCTAGGTGCCCATGTAAAATTTTTGACCCAAAAAAAGTAACTATTAATTACTTTTATTATTTTTTCACGATGTGTAAAAAGTACTTAAAAGGGAACCTTTTTAAGTTACTATAAGTATACTTATAAGTAAAAAGTACTTAAAAGTACCTTCGAAAATATTTTTAAGTAATTATCATAGTATTTAAAAGTATTTACTGTAGTATTTGTAAGTACTGAGAATAGTACTTAAAAGTACTCTTGAAGTACTTTTAAGTACTTTCTAAACTATTTAAAATTAATTTTGAAACTACTTTTAAGTAATTTTCATAGTACTTCCAAGTACTTTTACAAGTACTTTTATATAATTTTCAAAGCACTTCAAAGTAATTTTGATAGTACTTTTAAGTAATTTCCGAAGTACTTCGAAGTATATATGTCACTATATATATTAAACCAACTACGTAAATTATTTCATAGTAATCTATAAAATACTTCTGAAAAAAAGACGCTTCGAAAAGATAGATATCTTCATAAGTGTGTAAGAGACTTATTTCTTCATTTATGCTAGTAGAGTTGAATATCACCCACAACCATTCACTCTCAGTTCAGTTGAGTTCACCATCTATTTCGCACCGTGTAGAGGCGTGAAATTCGCTTTTGTTGGGGTTACCGGAAGTTCGCCAATAAGACTTTCGCAATTTGGACTTTCGCCATTGGCGAAAGTCCACTGTGCTTTCGCCAATATACCTTCCTGACATTCGCCAATTGGCGAGTGTCCATTGATCTTTCGCCAGTTTACTGTCCTCACATTAGCCAATTGGCGAATTTCCACTGGACTTGCGCCGGTAAATCCTTCAGATATTGGGCAATTGAAAAATGATAGTGGCATTGATCGGAGAGATCAGCAACAAATA